AAGGCTTTGCCCCTTCCTATCATTTCGTTCTAACGGCACCCCCAATAGTTCTTCCACTAAATCGTACTTCACGTTTGTGTCACCAACAACCGTTAATCCATCCACACGCAGACCTAACAACATATAGACATCCTCCAAGGTCACTGTGCATTCACCTATGGGAAAGTGAAATGTATGGGTTTCTAGTCTCCATCTTTCGCACAAGGCGAGAAGAAATTTTCGATCAATTCCATATGAAGTTATGTTGATGACGTGACCGAAACCCGCTTGAACCAAATATGGTTTGATAATTTCATCAGGCTTTATGTACTTATGTGAGTGTGGTTTGAAATATTTTTCATCCTACAAAAAAGGTATATAACATTATAAACATGATTATAAATACAATTATAAATCATTATAGACATTATAAACATAATTATAAATATAATTATAAACATAATTATAAATAAGATATATTACATTTTAAACATTTTAAAAAGTAACATTATAATAAGGTATATAACATTTTAAATATAATTATAAATATTATAAATAAGGTATATAACATTTTAAATAATTTAACAAGTAACATTATAAATAAAGTATATAACATAATAACATTTTAACATTATAAATAACATTATAATATGAGTGTTAGAAAAATGCCAAATTTGATATCATTTCCTTTATAGCTAGTACTAGTTCTCATAATTTTTTCATCATCTTCAAACATTTTCATATCATTTCTTCTTGCATGTTCTACACAAACACCAATCATTTTCATCACATATTCTTATATAATGTCTGTTGTGAATCGGATACCTTTAAACAAAGTATAAACGGTTTCTTAGCAAGAAACACACAAGGGTTAGGGTTAATAAAGAAGAAAATAACAAGGATTGATTATTAAATTGCTATTCTTTCCTTTCTCTTAGAACAAGATTACAAGTATACAAGAATAACAAAAATAACCTCTCTCTCTTGAAATTAGGATTTTATCTTTCTATTTTTCCTTATGTCAAGATTGAGAAAATGGCATCCTATTTATAATAAAATAGCACACTAACCTAATGGACTTTTTAACAATTACCCATTACAAGCTAACTTAGCTAACTTAGGGTACAAGCTAACTTAAACAGTTGGGCTTACAAGCAAGACCCAATTCAACATGATAACAAACCTAGCAATATTGATTAATGCATGTTAGAACAAACTTCGACTACAACACGCATTACTCGCGAACAGACTTCGACCATACTAGAGTTTGATCCAACATCTCACAATGTCTATCATTCTTAAATATATTGTTAATGCCCATTACAATGGGAGTCTTATTGTATCTGATGAAGTGGGTTTGATCTTTGAAAATACTGACATTAGTCATTTCAGTGTCAATAGAAGATCATCATTCCAACATTTTAAAGATAGGGTAGAGATGAAGGTTCAACTAGGATCGGTTACACAGATTACGTACAAAAATGTTGTTCATTTCGGGAACAATCAATTTAAATTTGTTCCATTAAAGGTTCGTGACGACGAGGATGTTAAAACGATGTTCTCGAATCATGAATGTTCTGGGTTTTTGTACATTGATTTATATATATCATTTGATCAATGACAAGAAACTCAAATTTCTCAAGTCACCAATGCATCCGTAGAAGAAACGCCAACCATAATTCTATGCGAAGATGTTGAAGAAGAAGACGTCGAAGAAGAAAATGAGGCACAGGTTGATGATTTATATACTACTTTGTTTAAGGAAGGAAATGGTGTTAACGAAGTCAACAGAGATGAACAACACATTCCAATTGGGAATGTATTCTGCCCACCTGTCCATATGACAAACATGCCCCTAAATGTAGAAGGAACATCATTTGAATGGCCACAGAATCCTCATATTCTAATGGAGGGTGACATAGAAGTTGGTAACCAATTTAAAAATAAAGTCGACCGTGTGCTTGCCATTAAGCAATATCACATGAAACACTGCATGGATTATAAGGTGACAGATTCCGACAAGAAGAGATACATAATTTGTTGCAAAAACTATTCCTGCAAGTTTCGTCTATTAGCGTCCTACCGAAAAAGAAGTGACCTATGGGAGATAGGCATTATGAACCCCCCACATAGTTGTTCAACAACTATGTTTAACCAGGATCATCGAAAAGTAACCTCTCAGCTAATGTCTTAGGTATTAATGTCATTTGTAGACAAGGATCCTTCTATTAAGGTTAGTGCTTGCATAAGTAAAATTGTTTTTGAATACAATGTTTCTCCGTCTTATAGAAAGACATGGATTGCAAAGAATAAAGCAATTGAACAGGTATACGGTAACTGGGAGAACTCATACAATGAACTTCCACATTTTCTGTTAGCACTTAAAAAATTAGTTTCGGGCACTGTGTTGGAAATAGAAACACTACCAATGTATACAGATGACGGAATAATTGTTGAAGGGAAGCACATCTACCACCGACGATTTTGGGCATTCCAACCATGCATCAGAGGTTTTGTATATTGCAAACCTATACTTCAAATTGATGGAACATGGTTATACGGTAAATACAGCGAGACACTGGTTATGGCGGTGGCACAAGATGGCAACAGCAATATTTTCCCAGTTGCTTTTGCCCTTGTGGAAGGTGAACAGCTGAAGGTTGGGGGGTTTTTTCTGCGAAAATTAAGGAGACATGTTGCGCCACAACCAGACCTATGTTTGATTTCATACCGACATGCATCAATTAAAAGTGCATACAATAATGCAGAAAATGGTTGGCGTAATCCCCTATCGATGCATGTTTATTGTATCCGACACATTGCACAGAATTTTATGAGAGAAATCAAGGACAGGAACTTACGGAAAAAAAGTAATTAACATGGGTAACTTTGATAACATATATTATATCTTTGTCAATAACATATATTATATTTTTGTCCATTGTTGATATTATAAACTTTTTTTATGCAGGGTATGCTTTAAACCAACCAACATTTCATTACTACCGGTCTGAGATTGGCATGGCGAATGCTGATGCTTTGAGGTGGCTTGACAATATTCCAGCCGAAAAATGAACGAGGGCATTTGACGGGGGTCGACATTGGGGTCACATGACTACTAACCTTGTTGAGTCATTGAATGTTGTCTTTAAAGGCACACGTAATTTGCTAATTACAGCATTGGTAAGTGCAACATATTATAGACTGGGATCATTATTTGCTGAAAGGGGTGCAAAGTGGAGTGTTGTGTTGAATTTTGGCCAAACATTTACAAACAACTGCCTCAAGGTGATGAAAGAAGAAACAACAAATTCAGCAAACATCAAGTCAGAATTTTTGACTACACTAACAATATTTTCAGTGTTAAGGAGAGAATGGACCATGGTGAGGGGAAGCCTATATGACATTATAAGGTCAACCTCCTAAATGGGCGATGTGACTACAGAAAGTTTCAAGCATACCGTGTCCCTTGCTCACATGATCTAATGTGTGTCACGACGCTTGCGCTCTTTTGTCTGACATTTATAGGGTCACAAATCTATTTGGGGTTTACAACATAAGGTTTCCAGTGCTGTCTTACGATGAATATTGGTCTGTTTATGAAGGAGATCAAATTTGTCATAACTCAAGAATGCGGAGGAACAAGAAAGGTCGCCGGTGAGCACACGTATTAGAACGGATATGGATAACTTTGATAAGCTTGAGAGAAAATGTTCCATGTGTCGTCAAACGAGTCACAATCGAACCCGGTGTCCTAATGTGGAACAAGTAATCATTAGTGTTTTCATTAATTATCATGTATTATTTTCAGATTAATATCAAACTTGTAGCACAAATCATACAACTTTATGCTTCATTAAATGACATAACACATACATAAATCACATAGGTAAGAATACTAAAAAGCAACATTTAACATAACATTTGGACAATTTCTCTAACTGATTACAATTAACAGTCTGATCTCATTTTGCCCAAACATCATTTTCATGGCTTTCTTATCATTCTTGACTCACACCCATCCACGTCAGACATCAAACCTCTTAATACTTCTAATTTTTTTCCCTTCCAGTATGTCTCCTTCTAACTAACACTCCAATTCCCTATGTAGTTGTTTTAAACTATATATGTTCCAGAAAAACATATTTTTAACCCGTTTTTCTCTCGAAAAAATCATTTTTTCCTGGCGGCAAAGATACATCTTCAAAACAATACAAAAAATTTAAAATAGATGTGAAAAATAAATCACATCACACTTCTATTTATATCAGTGGCAGCATTTTACAAAAATATTAAAATATTAAAAAATTTCACTCATTCAAGTGTCAGCACTATAAAAAGATAATAAAATATTAAAAAGTTTTGTTCATTTAGGTGTCGACACTATAAAAAAACATTAAAATATTAAAAAATTCTACTCATTCGAGTACTGACACTATACAAAAATAATAAAATACTAAAAAAATTCGTCCATTTAATTATCGGCACTATACAAAAATATTAAAATATTTTATTCATTTAATTATCGCCACAGTAAAAAAATTATTATTAATATTTATTTATTTATTGTTACCTACATTAAAAATTAATATTAATTATAAATATATTAATAATAATATTAATTGTTAATATACTATTAATAATTATATTAGCATAACTATCAAATTCCATATTGAAAACTTGAAAAAAGATGTGCTAATAAATAAGGAACATACACTCCAAAAATCAAAGTGAAAAACTATGAATATGTTTCAACTATTATTCATTGAAGAAAAGATTAACAATACTTAGATGTGAACGTGAGAAAATCAAACCCAAATAAAGGTGGAATAACAAGAATGAATAACTAAACAAAGTAGAAAAAATAACATAACCGCATAGACAATGAATCCAAATCAGTGAGGTTTTCAACATACATTTTACAAAAGCAAGTAGATCAAATTTACCTAAACAAATACTAAAAAGAATAAAGCAAACCCTAAAAGAGCAGCAACTTCACAACGTAAACCTATTAAGCTATTCTAAGCTCTCTCGCCTCTGATCCTGCGAGCCAGTTGAATATCCTTAGGCATAATAGTAACCCTCTTAGCATGAATCGCACAAAGATTCGTATCCTCAAACAACCCAACAAGATAAGCTTCAGCAGCTTCTTGAAGAGCAGAAACAGCACTACTCTGAAAACGTAGATCCGTTTTGAAATCTTGCGCGATTTCTCTAACCAGTCTTTGAAACGGAAGCTTCCTTATGAGAAGCTCGGTACTCTTCTGATACTTCCTGATCTCTCTTAAAGCCACAGTTCCTGGACGAAATCTGTGCGGCTTTTTGACACCGCCGGTCGCCGGAGCGGATTTCCGAGCGGCTTTTGTTGCGAGTTGTTTTCGGGGAGCTTTTCCTCCGGTGGATTTGCGTGCGGTTTGTTTTGTACGCGCCATTTCGGTGATTGTTACTGCTTTGAAGATTGGTTTGTTTGGGTAATATATAAGAAAGAGTAAAATGTGGGAATTATAAAACTTTTGAGAAGATTTGGGAAGATTGTGATCGTTGATAAGAAGAATATCTACGGTTGAGAGGCTCTGCGGGAAGGTTTTAGGATCGCGATCCGTGGCTTGTGAAACTGCCTAGTACTAGAATTTTGTTTTTTTGTTTTTTTTCTTGCAACCAGTAGCATTCTTTTATTCAAATTGTTTTTATTTTAAATTGTTATATATTTTTGAAGAAAAAAAAAAGACGGTAACTTATTTATTTTCTATGGAGAGAACTTTTTCTAGTCTCTTTAATATTAACTGTACTTTTTGAATAAGGTAAAAGTTTTTGCATGAAACTCTGATAAAGGTATATCTAAATTTTTTAAATTGTCGTTTTGAGTATTTATTCTTTGACTAAAGAGTCACTATTGTGAAGGAGAGAGTGAACTTAGTTGAAAAGGGGTTTATGAATGTTGTTTTTGAATGAGGAAACCGATTGTTACCAAAGATCATGATGGATGAGAAGGTTTTTAAGGATCTGTGTCATTCTTAGAAGAAGTGCTAGTCATTATACTACTTGGGAAAAACGTAGACTATCATTTGATGAATGATAGGTTGAAGAAGATGTGAAAACTTATCAGAGGTTTTGAGATCATGGACGTTGACAATAGTTTCTTTAAGGTTAAATGTGAATTGCTCACAGATAGGAAAAAAATTGTGTCAAAAGGCTCGTGGATGTTATTTGACCATTATTTGGCAGTGACTCAATGGACTCCAAACTTTGAATCTCCTCTCGCAAAGGTGGAGAATACTTTGGTTTGGATGTGATTTGCAGGGTTTAACTTATTGTATCATGGTGAAATTGGTTTAGTATTTATTGTGGATACTCTTGTTAAGGTAAATACTAACACTTTAAATGTAGATATGAGAAATTTTGTAAGAATTTGTATGGAGATTGATTTAACCTTTCCGGTTCTCATAAAGGTCGATGTTAATGGCCATTGGTGCAACGTGCAATATGAAGGTCTTCACACTATTTGCTTTAGTTGTGGTTGTTATGGGAATCACACATGTGATTGCAAGAAAACAACGGATAATCTGACACAACTGTCCATTCCTACGGTGGCACAACCAAGAGGTCTACCAAAAAATAATGTTGTCCATGAGCAAAAACTTACGAAACTGCATCAAGAAGTGGGTGATGATAACGCTGAAATTGTACCAAAAGAATTTGAAGAATAAATATAGTTCATGGTGACTAGCTGGTGGGGCAGAGGAAAAACACAACAAAAGAGACAATTATGGTCAAGGGAAATTTTATCCAATCATGCGCCTAGAGATTCTGAGAATTCTAAAACAATGGGGTTGATGTTTCCTTAAAAGGAATAAGCACTGACATCAAAATTGGTGGACCCAAACAATTTGACATTGTTTCCAAGAAACGACGATTTGATAAGAGTTGACCCATCCCATATGCACGTCAGCCTGAACATAGAGGGGACTCATGCACCAAGAACAAGTCTACCATTTCAGAACCACATCTTGCTAATAGTGGGCCTTCACATGAAATTGGACCAAGTTTTAATTCATGCCAAGAATAAAAGGGTGTGCCTTGCACTATTAAATACACATCCATTGTACTCATAGTAAATTTAGGTTTTGAGACAATTACAAGATACAACATTTCTCTTTTTTAACAGACAATAAATCAGGCATATGGAAACTACTAATGCGTTATGGATGAAGGTGTTACTCAAGAAGGGGAAGTTATTCGTGAAACTCCCATTGAATGGGAGCCGGCTACATAAATTGTCTCACGTACGGAACTTTTCTATGAACTTGACTAGTTATGTTAGGTTTCAAAGGAACAATTGATGAAAGAAATTTTTATTCAAGTTCTACCAAGCCAAAGTTGATTGGATACACAAACAGTGATTGGGCAGGTAAAATTGAAACTCGAAAAAAGCACCTTAGGTTATGTTTTCTATCCTGGTACATGCGTGTTTTCTTGGACCTCTAAGAAACGACAAGTAATTGCTTTGTCAATAACATAGACAGAGTACATAGCATCAACAAATTGTTCTACTCAAGCAGTTTGGTTGTAAAGAATATTAAGTGAATTGCAGTATCAACAAGAAGGTATTCTGCGACAACATATCAACAATTGCTTTGACAAAGAATGTAGCCTTTCATGGGTGTAGCAAACACTTTGACATCAAACATCACTACATTCTAGACTTAATCAAACAAAAATAAACTATGGTGGAGTATTGCATTTTAGAAGATCAAATTATCGATTTTTTTACAAAGTCACTCAAAACCAATTTTTTTCTTGAAGATGAAGAATGTACTGGGAATGATAAAACCAATTTTAAAGGAGAATGTTAGATATAATCTTAGCATTTGAATTTTGTCAATAAAAAAAACCATGTCCTTACATGCTTTAGAGAGGTGAATTAAATCATAAGCTAGTTTAATGGGAAGCCTTGAATATTAGATGGACTTTGTTTACTAAAACTAAAAATATGCAATTATTCATTAGTATAAATAGTTGTTATCAAATATTTATAAAGAGAAAGCTCCAAAAACATGTGAATTTCAGAAAGTATTAATCGTTATTTTAAATTCATTAAGGCAATTCAATTTATTTTGCTAACAAAAACGAAGATAATTATTGCTTTTTCACTTTAGAAAGAGAATTAAGTATAGGTCTCAAATCTCTATTTATATTATACTAGGGTTATAGGCACTAAACAAATTAGAATTTCAACAAATACTTTTCTATTAAATATAGATATTAACAATCAGTTATTTAAAATGTTTTTTTTAATAATATACATCATTGTTAAAATAATAATTCATTGTGAATCATCATTAATAAATAATTTTTTTTAATTTTAAAATTTATTTTATTGATTAATTCTACAAATTTAAAAATCATGAAAAGACAATTAAAGAAATGATTCTACTAATAGTAATTTTTAAAATAATACGAGTTTTTAATAATTGATTAATGACAAACTTGTCAAAAAAGTTATTTTGGTTTTATTCTATTTTATGATTTTGTGGAAATTTTCATTCTTCGTCTTTCGGGATTTCTAAATTTTCAATATTGACAAATATTTGTTAGGACGTGTCCTAGAAGAATTCTTTCACATTTTAATCAATATTTGGACCATTACATATTTGTGTCTTAACTTAATTAAGTGTTTCGTTCATGCTTGGAAATCGTGGACTGTCATATTTGTTATTCCTTATGATTGACTCAATTTTATCGGCAAAATAGAAAGTAAGATGTTGTGAAAGTTGTGGAGCACCTCTTAGTTCATTTGGTTCTATGTGTGATTTCAGAGTTGCTTTAAGTTTGTTCAGTGTTCAAGTTTGTTCAAGTCTAAGTATATGTTAAAGTTGTTTGGTAGAAAGATTTGGTTGTAAGCAACTTGTTGAGTAAGATGCATTGGCATGTTATATGACATCCTGACCCAGGTGTTGACGTTGTTCATACTGCTTAAGCTGAGTTTTGTTGTTCAAAGTAATTGGCTAATTTATGTAAGAAACTTGTCGAGCAAGTTGTTCAGCACATGTTGTGTGACATTTTTGCGTGCGGATTGGGTTTTGATTATCTTCAAATTTGTTTCAGTTTTAAATCCTTTCATAAGACACAGAAGATTGTTTTTGGAATAAGCCAGTTTATTCCAAATCAAGTTTGAAAATATTTTATTCAAATAAAAAGATTTAATTTGATTGTATTTGTTTTGAAGAAAAGATTTATTTGAATATACCTTGAAGGAAGATTTGTTTCAGATTTATTTTATTCAATATTATGCTGAAATTGAATATGAAAAGATATTGATTGAAGATTCATTTCATGAAGAGATTTAATTAGATATGTTTTATTTACAAGATTTGGATTTGCACTTAATCAGAAAATCTCCAATCTCTATTAAAGATGATTTAAAGTGTGGTTTAGTTTTTGCAAGATATTTATTCTAAATCATTTAATTGAGAAGTTGGAAGTAAAGACTTTATTTGATTTTTTCAGGATACAAGAATTTTGTTACGTGGGCAAATGTCAAGGCAAATGTCCCACTGTCTGTGAGACATCTGTTTAGGACTAATTAATTGGAGAGCAAGATAAATTGAAGTATATCTTATCCTTTTATGTTTTGTTTCCTTTTCTGTTATATCATAAATATAAGTGTGCTAACTTGAGTTTGGATTTGGAAAAGATCTTATTTTAGCAAGATTGCATGTGAAATGCTTGATTTGTATCAACCAAGGATCTTAATATTTCTAACAAATATTATATTAATCATGTGTGTTTTTGGAGGATATCATCCGAATCAAATAAATAAAAAATAATTAAGAGATTCAGATTTATTCAAGGTGATCAATCAGGATTGGAAATCATCATTATTGAAGATTGATCTCATGTGTGAAAGCTCGCTCAGACGTGTTTGAGTGATTTTGCTCAGACGTGTTTGAGTGAACCATGTTTTGTAAAATCACAAGGGAATTATTGTAAAGTTATATGGATAAATCATACACACACTAAAAGATGTTTTTAAGCCTCTGTTTCTCAAAGTAAACATCTTAAAAACATTTTTGAAACTGTGCCAAATAGACCAGGAATTGTCATAATAGTTTTGGACAAAATTTTGAAATGTCAAATCGATTGGCATATTTACCCAATTGATTGAGTCAATGCAAGCGTTGTCTATAAGCGGTTGTGATAATGTATTAATAAAGGGAAACCTATATGAATCCATTATTTCCATTATGAGCATTTACAATCGATTATTTGAGGCTCTCAATCAATTGGCTTAGGAGCCAATCGATTGCAACATTTACTTTGGCCCATGGATCTTTCATTTTTTGCGTCAACCTCTAGAAAATAAATAGAGGTCTCTCTATTCACATTTTCACACCCACAAACGTGATCCTTCAATCTCACTTCTCATTCTCTC